ATGATTTCATAATGAAATCTAGTTAAACATGCTATAAACTTTCTAGCATCTGTTGGATGTGCAATATTACTTCTTGGTGATTTATTAAAGCATGGTGATACTAAATAAAAATAAATAATTATACAAGAAAACACAAAGAAAAATAAATATCATACATTTAAGTGATGGTTGACGAGTTAATTCATTTGGAACTAAACGTGGCTGTTGTAATGAATTAAACGATGCAGATTGAAGCGGGTTATAACTAGTTTGATATTGTTGTAGTTCAGCTGCAGGAATTGTTGATACTTGTGAAACAGTTGTACCATAAGAGCCATATTGACGCTTTTTACGATAGATAGTATTTGGATAACCATATTCTTCATCATCATAATCATCATCTCTAACTTTATTTCCACGATTTTTGAAATCACCATTTCTACATACCAAAAAAAAAAACATATTAGCATACATTTAGAAATAAGGTAACTTACGAAGATGATTTTCCTGGGTTGCCTTTATCTGATGTTTTGCTATCATTTTTATTGACTTTGTCGTCACTTTTACCATCACCTTTACTATTAATATAAACCAAGGAAAAAATTATTATTATCAAAAGTAATAATAAACAAATAATGCAACAATACTTACGAGGCACCATCTTCACGATTTTCGTTGGAATCATCATCAGCTGGGTATACAAGAAGTCTTTAAAAAAAAATAGAAAATGAATGAAGAAATTATATTAAGTTAAAGAATGTTTTTTTTTTCGACTTTTTTCCTTACAAATACAATGAGGTAGATGCATTTGAAAGAAGAGAAAACATTAGAAGAAGAATCTTACTCGAAATCTGAGCCAAGAGGTTCACTGGTAGGTAGATTGGAACCGAATGATCCACCAATGGGTCTAAAAGGTGGGAAAGATTGACCACCAAAAGGCATGAAAGGTGGGAAAGATTGACCACCAAAAGGCATGAAAGGTGGAAGTTGTGGACCACCAAGAAATCTAAAACTTGAGAGAGGCTGACCACCAAAAAGTCCATAACGTGCCATAGGATGACCACCGAAAAGTCCAAAAGGCATAGGATTCTGGTTAGCTGGAGGTGAAGGAGGAGGAGGCCGACGACCAAACGGTCCACCATGTGGAGGGCCATATGGATAAAGTGGACCAGGAACTAAAGAAAGCGAAATAAATGAAAAATGAAATTAAATACATGAAAGAAAACTTACTCAATGTGGCTTGAAAGGAAACGGGTGTGGGTGCACCAAAAGAAGCAGCAGATGCGACGCTTTGCTGTGGGAACATTGGAGATCTAAAAATAAGTTGTGTTAAAATTTACCTATTTAATTTACAACAACGATCAAACATACGAATAAGCTGCTGATGGAACGGTTGGAAAAAATGATGAAGTAGTGGCTACTGATGGAGCTGCAGGAACTACTGCTGGATTAACTTTATCTGGAGCATTTTGAAAATCGACAAAGAATTGACCAGATGATGACATACTACGAGGTTGAGCAGCTGGTGCAAATTCTGATGGTACCGAAGCAACTGGTACAGGGGCTTGTGTTACTGGAGTAACTGGTACAGGTGCTGGTGCTGCTTGAAAATATGTTATCATTGCTTGTTCTGTTGGAGCAGATAATGGAGTGCCTACTGGTTGACTAGAAAATTGACAAATGTTTTATTCTAATAGTGATAAACTCGATATAACTTACGGTGCTTGTGAACCTGCAAATGTAGATGGAATACCTGCAAATGCGACTTGTCCGGGAAAACTAACTGGACCTGGTAAATTAAAAGGTGTCACAGGTATATCTAAAATAAAAGCAATGAACAATTGTTCATAAATGACTTAAGATAATAGTACTTACGAGGTGGACCTGGTTGATATGGAAAAGGTGTTGCATAATAACCTGGATATTGATAAGCAGCAGATGGTAACGTTAAACCTTGATAATGTGCTCCAAAGCTACGTTTCTTGCGTTCTATTGTTGAACGTTTCTTTCGTCCATATGGATAAGTTGATGACATTGCATAGTTCTTGTTCATAGTTTCATAAGAAGATGAACCACTTTTACTTCCACTGTTACCATACGATGTTGTACTATAATCATCATTACTAATTGGAGAAGCAACTATTGGCCAATCACAGATATTAACACGTGGATTCCATACAAGATAAGTTGGACATGGTTTGACAAATAAACGTCCGAATGCACATTGAATATAACAATGTGGATAACCAGGTAATGGATAATATTGTGAACCAAATAGTGTACATGGATTTACTGTTGGTGCTTAAAAAAAACAATAAGAAAAATTGAGAATGATTTTCATTTTGTTATTTAACTGATCTTACTTGGTCCACATTTGGAAAGATCGAGTTTTTCTGGTTGATAAATTAAAATTTCACCTGTTGATTGGATACCATATGGTGCACCAGTAGGTTCAGCGTAAGGTCTGTTATATCTATTACTATCATCATTCGATATACCACCATTGCTAACATCACCATAAGATACATCTCGTTGTGGAAATTGAACGTTAGAAGCATATGATTTAACATCAGCAGCAGCAACTGGTTGTTGATTAACAGTAGTTTGAGCAGGTTGTTGAGTATAACTTGATTGTTCGGATATGGATGAATCACTTAATTGTTGACTGTATTGTCCCAAACTATTAGCAGATGGTACACTAGCCGTACGAGCTGAGCTGGGCAAGCGACCATTTGATTGTTGACCAAAATTTCCAAATGCATTAGCTCCGGGAAAAAGACCATAACTGCCTAAATCTGTTTGTCCCGTACCGTATTGTTGTCCAGCAAATCGATGACCTAAGAAGGCAGCTAAACAAAAAACAAACCGATAAAAAATGAATTTATATTTGAATATAATGATATAATAACTTTCTTACCGGGGTTATATTGACCAGTGGCACTACTTGCCAATAGAAGACACAATAATAGTGTCAAATGAACCTATCATATGAAATAATATATTATATATTTTATATGAAACAAAAAATAATAGTTTTCATACCTGTTTCATCTTGAAATTTAATGGAAGTTCGACGGTAATGTCGATAATACGCATAAAAATGGCGATAGAAAACTGCGCCTCGTCTTGTTATTCTTTTCGATCTATGTAATGCGCGTTTGCGTCCGATATTGATCGTGTTTGTGTGCAAAGTGAAGTCGACCAACAACAATAACACGGCTTTTCTATTTTCGATCGATAACAATGATATCACTTGCTCTCTCTCGCTAGATTTTTCTCGATTGCATCAAATTGACCTAGACTGCCTTTCTTTATCATGTTCATAGATGATTATATATATATATATATAGATAGATAGATAAGGAAAGACAAAGAACTATGTAATACCTCGATTAAAGAAACAGAAATTCTAGCTATTAAATGGATAAATATAGATAGTGTATAAACAAAAAAAAGCAAAATGTTTGCTGATATATTTGACTGTAATTCTTTTGTTAACTTGTACATATCGAGGTAAACGTGCGTTACTTTAACAAATGATGAACAAAGAAAATGAACTAACTATAAAGTGCATATCTTTACATTCATGTAACAGAGTATAATATATTAATAAAAAAAAAATAGTTATTAAATTTAATTGTTTACTCAGACCTCTGTATCCGTCCGTTTAAGTATTTAGTGTAAAACGACTAAATTAATAACTTCTAACATTATTTCGGTATTAAAGCATCAAATTCTATTTCTAGTAGAGAATCGAATACAAATAGTAGTAATAGATGAATACTTCTTTAATTAGATGACTTTTTCGAACAAAAAAGAACGATTGATTTTTATAGTCCATGTATCTGAAATGCAGATTGAAACTTTGATTTTGTTTTATGCAATAAAAAATATTTATAATGTATTATAGCTATGATCGTGTAGAAGCCAAGACCCGCTACAATTGACTCTATTTTAAAAGGTGACAGTTATAACAAATTGAAGTGATGGATTCATTTTATGAATCCCTAAAATTTGTCTTATCGTGATTTTTTATATCACTATTATGTATTTCTTATATTGTTGTCGTTTGAATATTTTATTTATAAATAGTAGATGTTATTTGTCAATAGTAATTTGATTAAATGTTGTTATTCAGGATGAATAAAAACAAAAGCATACTTACTGATAGACGCTGGGGTAATTTATTAACAATGATCCATCATAAGTTGATAAATAATAAAAATATTACTTTTCTATAGAAATTCGTTGTCATCTATATGAAACATATAAGTTTTAAAAGCTGATGTCACACTTTTTGGAACACATATTGTCCTTCACGTTTTGTATAAATTCAGTTCGATGATCTGTTCGTAATATTATATCATGATGTACTCTATAGCAGGCATGATATCAGTGCAAGTTGTTCGAAATTTAAACCAAACGATCGCATTCCTAGTCTGTAGTGTCCTCTAGCAAACATCTAAGTATGGTCGTAAAATAAAATTTGCTGCAAAAAAGTGATGGCATACACGTTATTCTTTAACTTGTATTTGAGAGCAAGGAATAATAATTCTATCGTCTTGATAGATAACTGCATCGAAAATTTTATTCCTTCAATATCTTAATAATAGTACACACAATGATCACTCAAGATTCTTTGCTTAGAAACAAAGATTTTCTTTATATGAATCAAACTTGAAATCAAATAGAAAATTTTTATAGTTTGAATAATTGTTTTTTATACAGATGTCGATAGCTATAACACACAAGAAAATATGTTGAATATATCAGAAACATCTTTTTTTTGTCGTTTACTGTATTCGTATGATCTTCGATATAATTTTTTATTTGTCTGTTCAACCTTTATATATAATTACATATATATTTGATCTACGTTTATTTACAAGCAAAGTTGTTTTTCGCTTTACTTAAAGAAAGACATAAATAACAAGATAGAATAAGTTGCCTTCTGCCAAATACATATACAGAAATATGTATAAATAGGAGATATACTGCTTAATACTGTATATAATTTTTTTTTAACCGGTTGGCATGGAAATTTTATTATCATTATCGTTTGTATTTTTATTTTCATCTGATGTTGATAAGCTTTCATGAAGACCATCAGTAGATGTTGTTGAACGTGAACGAATATACTCAGGAAATTTATTTGCTTTAACAGCTTCTTCATCAACTCGAACACCCACAATATCAGATTCGGGAACATCAAACATCGGTTCGAGTAAAATGCGTTCCTAAAGATAAAGAAAGATGATAAATTAAATCGAAAAAATTTATTGATTTAAATTATGTACCAGTATTGATCGAAGACCACGAGCACCAGTTTTTCGGTGTAAAGCTTTTTTAGCTATTGAGCGGAGAGCACCATCGGTAAAATCTAATTGTACCTAAAAATATTTTATAAATAAAAATAAAGCGATACATTCAAGAAGCTTCACGATCTTCATGAACATATTCCACCCACAAGACCTTCTATTACTAATATCCGCTCCGAAATTAAAGTCGGGTGGATGTCATTTTAATAGCTCGACAACAGCTACAGCCAGCGATCTACTAGTGTCAGTAATCTAATGGGAAGATCTCTGAACGTCGTATTTTTATCTGTCACTATATCAGATAAAAACTATTTTAAAATCTATTAACTATGCAAAAGATTCAACGATATTCTGTTTGCAAGAAATTATGATAAACAAATCAGAGTATTTGCTAAGGATCAACAGAATTTCATATAATTTGACTGAATAGATACGCCGTCTTGTTTGTTCAACATGAAAATGTGAGAATATAAACATTTAAATGATGCCTTAAATTATAGATATAAAGCTCATCTCAAAATCAAAACTAAATGAAAACTGAACATCATTGAATTTTTTACAAAGATAATGGGTATCAAAATAATATTGTCTAACATAGTATCAGGCAAAGAACAAACGATGCCGAGAGTTTTCCTTTTTCGATTGCTGAAAACAGTAGATCGCTACCTATTATTGCTATCGAGTTATTGAGGTTAAAGTCATTTCTCATTATTATTAATACGCACATTAATTTAGAGAACAATCTATTAATTACAATTTTGATGAAACTTTTATTAATGAGAAAAAACTTTCGCTTGAAACAGCACAAGACTGTGATACGTGACACAATATAAGTCCTTTAGATAAGAAAATACTTTGTTTCTTTTGTTTTCTAAGAGTGCAAAGACTAGATTTTAATTAATGCAAACGAAACCATTTCAATAATCATCAATGAGAATATAAAAGTGACAGATAAAAACAAAACCTGGAGAGATTTTTCATGATCAATAGATACAAGTACATAATCTGTATTGTCAATAGAACACAATAAAATGATTGGTACTGATATTACCTATTCTCTGAATATTACTATGATATAGGCTATTAAATAAAAAGCATGACGATAAAAGACAAAATCTAACAATCTAAAAGATAAAGTGAGATTCTATCAATTATCAGTATAACAAGATTTCTCCATTGAAAATTAAAAGAATCATTGCATTTCGATTGCCACGACTGAGTGGCTACGTTGTTTAATATCAATAAGTATCACTAATCATAGAATAATGTGGATAAATTACTAACGGTTGTTTGTAGACCAAGACCTCTGCACCAGGCCAGTATTCTGGCATGAGCTACAACTAGTATTATTTGTAAGGAAAATATCAGACTACTGAATATACTACGAGGCAGTATCTCATACCACAAGGTAGTCACAATGCAGGAGTACTCTTTCTTTCTTTCATTGAATCTTATGTTGGGACAAAACTATTAAATTCATTTTACCTTATCCATTTTAAACAAAGCTTGATATTGTGGTATATAAGCATTGCGAGGTTCAGTTAATATTCGTACAAGCATATCTTCATTTAAACTATGAAATGGGACTATTATTGGTAATCTACGTAAATAAGTAAATAATAATTAATAAATATTCACTCATTCATTCATTCTTTTTGTTACCTGCCGATAAATTCAGGAATCATTCCAAATTCAATTAAATCTCGAGATTCACATTCTTGTAAATATTTATCACGTTCTAAATTTTCTTCTTCAATTCTAGCATCATTATCATCATTTTGTTCAAATAAATCTAATTGTGTTGCACGACGACGTGATGGTGCTTCATTTGATGTTGTACCAAAACCAAGATATTTTTCTTTTTTTCGTCGACTTATGATTTTATCTAGACCTGTATATGCACCTGATGCAACAAATAATATATTTGTTGTATCAATTTGTACTGTTTCACTGCGCATTTTTTTTGAATTTTTTTCCGGTACATTAACTATAGTACCTTCAAGCATTTTTAATAAAGCCTTAAAAAAGAAATGTTAATTTTCATATTATAATAAAAAAATGATTGATATACTTGTTGTACACCTTCACCACCGACATCACGAAGTTGATGAATACCTGGTACGCTACCAATTTTATCGACTTCATCCAAAAATACAATACCTAGAAATAAAAATCGATTAAACATTATTGAACATTTTCATTTAAGATTTTCTCTTTTATTCATTATTAGACATTAAACTCAAAAATTTGATGATATAATAGTGTCGAACTAGTAGAAGATAATATTTCAACGAAAAATTATTATTACCGATGAGATCCAAAGTTCTGATGATAAGAAGTAAATCAAAATTATATTTAGCTGAAGAAGATAATAGATTCAGAGTTGCCAACAGATTATTTTTTTAGGCTGACTTTTAGGTATATGCTAAACCAAAATAGTTCAATTGATTCAATCACTTAATTCATGTTCTTTTCGTCTGAAAATACATTAAATCGCATTTATAACCAGTTGTTTCCTTTTCCCTCTTTCATTTATTATTCTGCTTTTGATAATGCACTCTGAAGTTATTTCAATGGTTTACTTTTAAAATTCTTCCAAATTCAACGCAGTCTATAATGATATTGAATATTCGAAATAGAATAAAATATTATTTTTACGTATAATTTGATCAGATAAAATACTTTAGTCTGTCTTTGTGACTTGGCAGTTCTAGAGGAGTAACTCGTACTGAGCTATAGCTTTGTTTTACTGCATTTGGAATAAGTCTCATCTAATCAAAAGATAAATGCAGTACTCACACTTATCATCTTTTGACCTTTAAAATATCCATTTCTAGAATAGATGATTAGTCTTCATATGCATGTGTAAGATTCAATATCTTAGCAATGTATATTTTATTGGCTAGTATTTATTTGAGCAATAAAAACAACTTCATTTGAGTAATTTTCTATTATTAAATGTACAATAATTAATTTATTAAGTAGCAGTAGTAATTTAATATTTTAGCAATAAAACAAAGAAAAACTACATTATTTTATATAAATTAGAGAAATAAAAAAGTTATTTACAATTGAAAAAAAAAGAAAAATGAAAAACCAGTATATTATTGTGTGAATAGAGCTGTTTTTTTGCTTTAGATGGTCTGCCTCTTTTTCTTTTTCTTTTTCTATTTTATTTTGTAAAATTGAAAAACTACGTATTTGTATATATAAATGAATTCATATTGCCCTTTGTTAATGGGTGATTGATCAAACAGATCAATACTGAACTACTACTTTATTTCAGAAATGGTAACTATATATATATATATGAATGAGCTAGGAAAAAAAACAAATATTCTAGAAAGAAAATATGACGAAGAAGGGAATATACCTGAACAACATCAAGAGAAGAGAAATATTCAAGTGAAGGAAAGAAAACAAAAGATATATGTATATATCGGAGTTGATTTTAAAATTCGGTCCCCATTCAAAGGCGACTAGTTGACTTTAAAATATTTTAAAATCAATTAGTTGAGTTCAAAATAAATTTACAAGACAACTAGTTGATTTTGAAATATTTTAAAATCAACTCCGACATACATGTATCGTACTTGTTTTCTGTACGACATTGTAGAAGAGAAGAAAGGAAAAAAAGATATATCAGCGAGTCACACTATAACACCCTTTTTATATAAAATCTACCTTATATAAAATTTACCTTTAATTTAAATAAATTATTGCTCTTTCAGTATAACTATTGCTCATTCTATATAATTATTACTAAATTTCATTATTACTTATTTAAACTATTTTATTGCTCAATTAAATATAAGTCTATTTTATTTAATAGAGTGCGTCAGTACTATCAATTCTTGTCTAGGTGATACATTTATGCATTTAGAAATATTATTTCACATCTTATGGATAAGCTCGTGTCCAAGCTGAAATTACATTCAATCTCAGATTGCTCTAGACATAGGTGGGCCAGCAAAGATAAATTGGTGACAATAGTTACCACTAACAAGAAAATTATTTATAATCTAACAATATTCTCAGCACGCTTGGTATTTTATACGTGCTGCTGAATCATACAAATACCGATAGAACGCTGAATTATGTCAATTATTTACTGAAAAATATGCTTCTCATTGTTCTTAAAAATATCACCTGATTTTATTGCTATCCCTGGAATTATTATGCTAGTCTACTAATGGATCTAGACGAACGTATGACCCAAAACTAGTTTGGACATTAACGTACATTATTCAGATTTATCTGTTAACTATTCAATTGTTACTTATTATTCACAATTCGCTATAGTCGTAGTTGTGTCGAACATTTTATTTCTTAATCCTTAATCTATATAAATGATTTCTCTCTCATAATAAACCATATCAAATATGATAAATACATTTTTATGAGATAAGTTTTCTTTCTAAATATCTGAAATTGTTTACGAAAAGAAGTTTTAATATAATTTTTATCAAACCTTGTTGACATCGTTCAACATTATAATTAGCATCTTGAAGTAATTTAGAAATAACAGATTCGACATCTTCTCCAACATAACCTATTTACAAAAAAAAAAAAAAGATTTTTTTTATTCATTTATTCATTCTTTTGTTTTTTACCTGCTTGTGTAAGTGTTGTACAATCACAAATAGCAAATGGTACATCAAGACATTTTGCAATTGTTTGTGCAAGTAGTGTTTTACCTAGAATATTAATAATTTATTTAAAAAGAAAAATAAATTAAAAGTTTTTTCTTTTATATATTTACCTGAACCAGTTGGACCAAGCATAAGAATATTACTTTTTTCAAGTTTAATATCGTATTTATCATTATTTATAACATAACTTCCATGTTTTGATTCTTCATTATTATTTGAATTGAATGACGAGTTAGTATTTGAACCATCAAATGGGACGGTATGAAACGGTATACCAATATGAAAAAGAAAACCTGAAAAAATCATAATAGAAAAATATGTATGAGATTTTCTGATAAATAGGTCAATGCATCAGTAGAATGTTCTGAAATTTGCAGCTCTGAAGAATATTTTCTTCCCAAGATATTAAAGTCTCAAAAATCATTCATTTTTTACGAAAAGATGCTAGATTTTTCCGGTTTTTGGAACTTTAATATTTCAAAAAGGAAACATTCGTTGAAATTGAAGTTTTCAGAACACTCTACTGCTAAGTAGAGCTTTCTGTGGGATTAACCTCATCTTGAAATACTGTCATTCAATATGTTTATATATATATAAATATCATACCAGAAACTATAAGTCTAGTAAAAATATCTATAATTCTGGATAGCAGGGCTAAAAGGCTTGATGCTTGTGAGACTGTTCATATTTCATTAAAGTCTGCTTTATGCATAAATTCCGAAATCAAACGTTGGATTAGTTAATTCGCACCAATTCTGTTTCAAAATTTAAATTCTCAACAGTATTTATGAGCTTTAACTCTTGAAAGTCTTCTCGAATCACTTCACAAAAAGTCACTTGATTTGGCTTAACAACAAGAGAGAGATGTAAGTGCTTTTTTTATGCCACTGACTTTTCAAAGACGCAATATATAATGTTTTTTTTTTAAATTACGTTGTTGATTTGATAAATTTGTACTAAGACCATTAGTAGGTTCAGATACATTTCGTTGAGATTTCGTAGTATTTGCAGATGGTAAATTATTATACAAACGTTTGTAATGATTATAAACGGCAACTGACATGACTTTTTTTGCATTTTCTTGACCAACAACATATTTATTAAGAAATTCATAAATCTAAAAGACAAGGATTTATTCATTTACTTTTTTTTGTATAAATTAAACATTTGTAAAAAAAACCTTTTTTGGTGTTGGTAATGGTGGTCGTTTCTTGGTTTTATCTTCTTTAATTTTTTTTGTTCCTTCATTTTCAGATAAAACAACAAAAAAATGACTGCATTTTTCACATTTTACAAATCTTGTTGAAGCTAAATATGGATAATACAAAAAAAGAAATATATATGTTTATGTTATATTAAATTATAACTCACAGACAAGACTTTCAATATGTGTACAAATATCACCACATTTTGGGCAAAGAAATGGAATCTTGCCTGAACCATCATTTCCACCTGAAGTTAAATGAAATGATAAAAAATTTAAGAATCTTTAATTTTTTTTATATAAGAAAATTTAAAGTAGAAGTTTACAACACGAAGACATGTATTAATTAAAATAGATTTCGATTAAATAAATCTTAGTAACTGAGAAAAAAAAATCATAGAATGATTGATTTTCCAAAGAAACAACAAAAAAATATCAACATGTTAATATACTTTCATTTTTAAGGTTTCACAACTGATTCAATGTGATCTATTTGAATTAAATTGAGACTTGTACCTGATCAATTCTTTATCATTGATTAATTATTTATTGATATTAATAGTGTATATGAAGTTAGTATTCTTGTTACGAATGTTAATTTTCGTGAAATATATTTTACAAACAAGAAATAAATAGTTAAAGAATACGAAATTTCTTCGATTTTTCAATATATTTCTATTTATTTGCTTGTGTTATTATAGTATTTTGATGACTTTATTGATTAATAACTCTTTTTTCCTTTGCTACTAAGAGGATATTATAAAGTATTTCTCGCTCGATACTCAACTAAATTTATTTTGTTTCATTTGTTGATATTATAAATAGAGGAATTTTGTTGCCCATTTCATGAACTTTAGCTGATCTCATCGTTTGCACCTTATAATGTAATACACATATACAACAGCTTTTTCAAAGAGAATAGGCTAATGTATTTGAAAAATATACAAAAAATAAAGTTCTAGCAATAAAATTTCTACTTTTGTGTAAATTATTTTTTTGTCAATAGCTTTCAATTTCAGTGCGGTTTCTAACAAAATTAAATGACCATCAAATTCATCCATTAGATAATGGTGTTTTTGGAATAGGCATCAATATTATACCAGACAGAGATCAGTTTGATCTTAACGAGTGAAACTCACTGACTTCAATTTCGAACATTATGTTGATCGATAAAGAAGACATATATATTGAGTAAAATTGCTCCAAGAAAGTAAATCTCTAGTTGACTAGAATAATATTGAATCAAAGCTTATTATTCTATATCAAATACATGAATGAAATGTAAAAGAAAAAACATACAACTGTTGGTAATTATCAAGAATGTTAAAGCAAAGTATTTATTATTGATATGCAGAACTGAGTTACTTAAACTTCTGTAGTTCTATTCAGTCAATGAATGTCATATTTCATATTTTGTTTTCTCCTTTGATTGTCATTTAGCTTGATAAGATAATGCGCTACAATGCAACAGACTTTTAATCTAACAGATGTCTAGATAGAACGCTTTTGTATATATTTGTATTCGAATTGTATCATCACTAATTTTTTTAAGTCATTCTCATCTATGATTATTCAATATTTTCTTAGAAACATTAAACGAAAAAATTTTAAATTACCTTTCGAACTCTGTCCCATACCACGAATTGTATACGAATTATTGCTTGATCGTGTGAGTACACTACTTGATAATGAATATGCACGTAAATGTTGACATTTAGGTATAACTAAATTTCTTGATTGTTGTAAAAAGCAATTTATGAAAATGTCTATTTTACAAAAACAATCGACGGACAATTTATTGATTAATATTTTAAAAAAATATCAATACCAAATTCATGGCGAAGAAATTTTCTTAATAAAACTTTTCGAACATACATAGATTGTTTCAGATCTAAGGGTAACAAGTTAAAATAAGGTTCTTATCTATGGCTTCTATATTTAAAAGTGCACTTGATAGAGATATAATCAAGATACTGCATGGAATCGTCAAAGTTTTCTTCCATTCAAATAGAACAATCAAAAGAGGGTGCTCGATGTCAAAAGATCTATGATTGGATAATGTTATCAATATAAACCCTGGTTAAAGAGAGAAATAGTTTTAAAACCGCTTTTCTTCTTTCGTTTTGCTTCATTGCATCAATTGTTTTCTTTTGTGTTCAATTAGAAAAAAACATGTCTAACAATAGAGTAAACTTTCCTATGTACAAGTATGTCATAGATTTTGTTTTTTTTTTCAAATATGATTTTAGTTTTTTGATATTTAGTGACCTTCCATATTCTCAAGCAGTTCAACAACAATCTTTATATGGTCCAAGATTTCCTAATAGTCTTTCACAAGTGAACATATTTCTCTGTATCATCAAACGAAAAACAAATTTTAAGATTTTTTATTCATTCTAGTCACGAATGCCTCAATATAGGAATTATCCAATGTATTCTTCAATACACACTCAACAGCCATATACTGGTACGTTTACGAACTCGAAGAACTTTAACTAAGCTTATTAGATATAAAAGCCTAAAATGTATTCATTTAGCAAGTGTTTCACTATTTTTCAATGTATTGTATAGTGATATTAAAGTCATTGCTTTTCACTATAGACAGGTGTCCCATGTTCTGATATGATATAATATCGAAAGATGAAAGACTTTTTCGTAATGGAGAGACCACTCTTAATGCTACCCCATATTCAATGTGAAACACCTACTAAACAAGTACTGTCAATAACTTTAAAGAGACTAAATTCTCTTACTTCAAAATAGTGAACATGATCGAATTCATATTTTTATATAATAAAATATGTGCTAGTAGAAATTAATTCATTTATTTCTTTCGAAGTATGAATGGTTAATCGTGAATTATGAACTAACTCTTGAAATGAAAAATATGTTCATGATTTAGCACTTCAAAAACAGTAATTGATAATAACAGGTGGTCTTTTTATACCTGGTTTATCTTAATATATTTTATCAAATATTTTAAATTTAGAATAAAAAACGAGAAAATATAAAACAGGTTTTTATAATTCGATCATACCAGAAAACTTCTTTTTTTTTCATCTTTTCACGTTTTATACGTAAATCTCTATATCTTATTCATTATGTTCTTAGTATTTATTCTAATTCCATCAAATAACATTCTTCTTCAGGCTATAATCATTACAATCAATCAGCTATTGAAACATTAGCTGCTTTCACTCCTCCACCTGAACCATTAATAGCTAATTATCATCCATCAAATCTATCTCAACAAAATGTTAAACATTATTCAGAAAATAATATCTCTAAGACTACAAATTCAACACGTACGTATTATTGTGAAACATGTCGTATAGCATGTGGTGATCATGCTTCATATCAAGCACATTTAAATGGTTCAAAACATAAGAAAAAAGAAACTAGTTCTCTAAATCAACAAACAAATCAGAATGTATTTCGATGTGATTTATGTGATATAATTTGTACAAGTTCTGATGCTTATAAAGCACATTTAGATGGAAGTAAACATAATAAAGTAATTGAATAATATTTTGTTTTCCTTCATTTACAATCATAATATTGTCATTAGACTGTAAAATTACATCGTAAATTAGGTAAAATTATTCCACAGACTGTTAATCAACCATTAATTCCTATTAATGAATCACAAACAGTAACAACTAATGAAGAGAAACAATTAAATGAATATAGTATGAAATTATTAGGTTCAGAATATATTGAAATATCATATGATGATGCAAATATACCAATATCTTATTATTGTAAATTGTGTGATTGTAAATTTCATGATTCGAATACAAAAGATGCACATTTAAAAGGAAAACGTCATCGACTTTTTTATAAAGTAACAAAACAACAGAGACTTTAGGAAATAATTTTTCTTTATTCTATTTATAGAAAAAAGTTAATTCGATTTTTCAAGTTGATGATAATAAATCATCAAGCCAAAAACAACATGTGAATGAAATAAACGAAAATACGAATGATTGGCAAATAATTAATAACACTAATAATCTAATAGATATTGATAATGATACGAAATGTTTGATGAAATTACATGAACGAATAATACCAACAAGAAATCTAGTAAGTAGAAACTATAATTTTCGAAATTTGATGGTCTAAACTCAAATTTCCACTGCATGAAAATCTCTTAGACCATATTAAAAAAAAACCTCGAAAACATCAGGAGACACTCTATGGCATGACCTGATCTGTAGTCAAATATTAAATTACCTATAGACTTTGCTATTCAGTTTTTGAAATGTGATGATTCGAATTCAGAGGGTTTTCACACAAAAATATATTATGTGAGAGTCAGTGCCTTTTTTGTGTCACGTTATAAACACTAGTGTTTTACTGATAATTCCCTTAAACAAAAGTCTCTAAGGTTGAGTTTTTTAGGATACCTAAAATAACTTGGCACATATGTAACATATAAAAATTAGTTCTGAGAAAGTTCATTATCTCGAGATACGATTATTTTAATTTTTCAACGTCGTACCACTAACGAATAGTTCTGTCCATATCATTTTTGATAAACTAGGAAAAAGTGCTATGAGTAAACAAAGATGAGATTCACATCTTGAAAATTATGTTCGATTTCATATTTAGTTTGAGTAAAAATATGACCAAGCGAAAGAAATTTCACATGTAGAACGAGAATGAGAACCAAATTGATTTGATATTCTCTTCAGTGATTGAAATGTAAGTCTCAATCATGCAAGTTTTTCTGAATATAAAATATAGAAAAACATTCATATGATATCATATTGATTATTAATGTTGATATAGACCTTAATCATTCAGATTATAGACTTTAAGGTAAATAAAAATCGAATAGAGAGGGCATGCTTTGCGTGATTTATTTGCATGGAATAGAATCAGACTAAGATATCAAAATCGAATGAGCTAATATCTATAAAAATTTCTACTTTGAACATGGAAAACTCATAGTTATAACAGAAATAATTGGAATAAAAGTCGAGCCTCCAATGATTAAAAAATTGATCTAACAACATACTACTCATGTCGAAAGTAATGGATGTTCTAGAGAAAATGAACCTTTCTGTATTTTAATGATATTTCTTTTAGTATTTATTCTGTTCATATTCAATTTTTTTATTAGATTGACCTTTTAGTTCTCTGCAAAATGATATCATTAAAATACAAAAAGGTTTATCCCCTGTAGAACATTCGATCATATGTTTTAATCAAAATTTTATCTACAGCTCGATACAATCGAACAATTTGTCAGTGCTGTTGAAACAGCTCTTAAATCTTGTTCTCATCAACTGTGTTCTTCACAACCGTCGATAATCGATAATAACTCTGAAACATCAATGTAATGATATAAGAAATTCAAATTTTATAATTTCTTATGTATTTTAATTTTAGTACTAAATCTCCATTATTGGGTGTATCTCGTATTGGTGGACTCGTGAAAAATTTATTGATAAAAACTGATCACTTGTTTCACATCGTTGTTATTTGTACAGAATGGCCAACTTTGAATCTCTTTGAAAAAATTTTTTCTATATTACCTGATAATTTTCATGTAAGTAGATTAGTTTGGAAAGGAAAAACTAATTTAATTAATCGAACAGGAAACATGGAAAAATCAAATTAATATTCAATGTCAAAAAGATGACGAAACTATTCAAGTACATACAAATACTATTGAAGGAGAAATGTCCGTTTCAATTTCATTTACATCATTATCTATTCAACAACAAGATGGTCAAATCTCGGAACAACTTTTAACAAAAACAAATTGTTTAAACACTTTATATGCAATGCATTCAGTTCAATGGTTTCAAGTAAAAAAACAACTAACAAATTGTTTTTTTTTAATTTATTTTTCAAATATTTAGAATCATATTAGTACACGAAAACATGCATCAGCATTAATCCGATGTTTACGTTATAAAACAAAAATTTCATCAAATTGGCAATCATTATCATCTGAAGTATAATGAATTATTTTTATTTTTATTTTTATTTTTTATCATACTTATATTCTATAGGCTATTGAAATTCTCATTGAACATACTTTATCAAAATCTGTATCAGCTGTTGGTGCATTTCGACGTGTTCTTGAATATCTTTCTGGTGGTTTGCTTTTATCAAGTTCGTTGATTTTTATTATTTTACTTTTATTATTTTATGAAACACGATCTAAATCCGTGACAAACACTAATCAAAGATCATCATAGACTATGATATATACTTAAGCAACACTCCCTTCCCCACGGTCACAGATGGAATATCCACAACGTCTTGTTCTGACATATGAACTACTTCTTTATTACATTTTTAAAAGAATACTGAAGAAATATGTTTCAACATAGTTAGAATAAAACCATATTCTTGTGATTTGCAAGAATAGCTATATCGTGTTTTACACTTTAATCCTACAGAGCTTGTGCTAACATGTTTTTATTTAATTTGATTTTTTAGATGGACCGGGTTTGCGGATACCTTGGAGAATTGATTCGATAAATAATATTTTTGATAAGTTGAGTGATCAAGAACGAAATGATATAACTCATGAAGCTCAAGTAAAGAAAAAATTCATTAATCTAATCTCAAAAGAAAAACATTTCTTTTTCGTTTAGATTGGCTTACGTTTTATGGCATTTGGACAATTAAATAAATGGCTTAAACAATATGATATACCAAAAATGATGAAATCATTTCAAAAACGTTCATATTCTGATGATGAAGATCAAGGTAATGAGAAAGAATTATCATAAGATAAATTTAAAATAATTTTTATTACATTTAGTTGCAGCTAAACGACAATGTTTGGAATCAGAAAATATCAAAGAACAATAGAAAACAATGAATAGAAAATTATATTTTTATCTCATTCAAA